TTCATCCTGAGCTCAGTCATACTTTCTCTCAATCAAAACCTAGTAATTTGGTAATCTATGATGCATCTTATAGAATCATCATTACAGTAACTCTTCTTTAAATGTCTCCACAACTTTTTACCGGCTGTGTTTTGTGGTCTTCATGATGCTGTTTGTTCAAATTCTGGAATTATATTGAGATTTAGTTACACAGGTGGACTCTACTTATTAATAAGTGGATTTCTGAAGGTAACAGGTTGCACTAGATTTGATTTATTAGTTAAGAGGCAAAAAGGGTTCATTGCTTATATAAAAAACACACTTTATATGTAAAACTTCCATTTGACATTCACAGGCTACTTTGTGTTTTTATGTAATACATTAAAGTTTGTTGTTTTGGGGTAAAATAACAAATAGATGTCATATATTGACAATTTATTCAAACAGCTTTATAACCAATTATAATGATATTAATTATGGCTATTCTGTTTTAAATATAAGCAAATAGTTTATGTTTTACATCTGTATTTAAGATTTTTGGTGTAAATACAATATTACTTTAAAAACAGTAGTTTTTCCTCAAGATTATCATATCTTGAGAATTTTATAATAGTTCGTGGCTATGTCAAAAAATTCTTGAGAACTTCAGTGAGTGAAATGAGCTACTGAAGTTCTTTTTCTTGATTTTTAGCTGCAATCTCTTTACAATAATAGGGAAGAAGATCTTCTACAGTGAGACAACTTGACCACACTCACGAAGGATATTCTTTACTTAGCTGGATAGGGAAGGGAGTTGTCAGAAAGGTCATTCTTTAGATTCACATTCAGTGTGTTCAAAGTGCATAATTTGCTCCCAACTCTGCTGAGCCAGCAGCTTGTCATGTATGCAAAACCACGTTATGTGTCAGTCTGTGCACCTCTGCGTTGTGATTTCGTGTTGCCACACAGTCTGTGCCGCAAATGCAGGCTGCCTTTGCCCTCGGAGTGGCCACGAGGGGAGTGGGACCGAGCCCAGCGCCGCTGCGGCCCTGCGAGCCCCGGTCCAAACACATCCTCTGCACTCAGCTGTAAATATCACCAACAGCTGGTGGCACACAAGCTGGTCATGCTTAAACAAATTCCTGGCATACATGTGGAGAAGGAAAGGGCTTCTTTTGCTTTCCTTTGAACAAAGCGCCCATATACTGTAGCTACAATCTGAGAAATTACATCAGCATGTCAAGTCAAAGAAAAGGGATTGCTAAGAAAAAAAAATCTATTGCCATGTAGGTACTTAATCACATACAAGCCATCTATCTTTGAAGATAAATTCCCACCAAAAGAAGGTCAAACTTTTTGGAAACCTGTTTGATCCAGCGCTTCTTACCGCAACTCATCACGCACACACACAGCTCTGTTTAGTGAGATAGGATTCATCAAAGTCACCTTTGAGCTCAGTCGCCCATCTACTGCTCATAGTATCACGGATAATGACATTCAGTGTAGCCCAGATCACATTTATGATAGCATATTTGATACAGCTGTACTCTAGTGAAGAATAACACAGCCTAAAAGAATACCCCCCCTTCCACCTGCCCTCTTTTTTTCAGTTTAAACACAATCCATTTTCCAGTGTAAATCACTTGTCACTCTATTGCAAATGTAACTGCTGTGATCTGAAAGAGAGAGGTGGAGAGACAGAAAGAGGGAGAGTAAAGATTATCTTTTGGGCCATTTCACTGGCACCGTTGCGTGACAGAGACTGACAGCTCTTTCAGATGACTGACAGGTGTCCTTTGAAATGCCGGTGAAGCAGCTTCTGTTCCGACTGTTGAAATGCATATTTGGAGCTCTTATCATAAAGGCATGGATGGCCCAGATAGGTGCCGTTAACATTGCAAATGGCTCCAGAATTATTCATTGTCAGTGCTGTGGGAAAGAATGAGGAAGGGGCTGTGGAGGTGTGTGTGTGTGTGTGTGTGTGGTGGTGGTGGTGGCGGTGGAAGGGGTGAAGTTTGATTATTCTGCTCACACAATGGCAGGGTGCTTAATGATTCCTCTCCACCTTGGCAGCGGCATGTGCCGACTTCAGGCGCTAGCGGCGGGTGACACAGGTCTGGCCAAGTGTTAGAGCAAGATCATACGTCCAGGCCCCATTTTAATTTCTAATACATTAATCTTTTCCTCGCAGATCCTCCATGAATATTCCAGGGCTCCTTGTTTGTCAGGAAGGCTGTCTCGCTTTCATCTATTCAGGTGGTTTCATTCACTGTGAAAGCCAGCTAAATGGACCCGATCAGTCAATGACAACTGGGATACAATAGAGCCCCGTAACACGTCCCTTTTCTCCTTTCAGGCTCCTGATAGACAACCCTGACACCTGCTCCCCAGGGACACCATCCGCCAAGTCACTGCACTGCTCCTGGAGAGACTTCCTTTACTTTATCAGCCCATAAAGGATTGTCACAGGTGACTATATCTGCTGAGGTATGGAGCTGCCCCCTTCTGACCTGCCACCTGACGTGTGGTCGAGGCGCCACGCTATGCGTCAGGAGCGGATTAAGGTGGTTTAAATGCTGTCGTACAAGGCACTTCACACTTTCTAGAAATGTTAAGCCTTTGTTCTCTTCCATTAATTAGCATTGTCTTAAGTTCATTAGACCACAGCTTGTGTTGTTACTAATGAGGCAAGTTAGACCACCCACATACACCATACCTTTGTAGAGCCTGACCTGACATAGGTGTTATGTGCTTTTCTGTCCACGGTGTAATGACTTGCATTGCTACTGAGGCAGGTGGGACTTACACATCAACCATTATTTTTGAGTAGCAACAACAATAATGGACAAATTCCAGTTAGGTTTCAGGATACATTGTGTAATAGAGTCAGTATCGCTTAAATTGGTTTCTTTTTATTTCATTTTTTTAGGATTCAACTGCAACATTTGCTATGGTTGATCATTCTCCTCTTACAAACAGACAAATGAGATTGAAATTTATTGTAGTCAGTGGATCATTTCATATTTATCTGTCCAGTTCAACCAGGAACATTTTTTTCTCTGCTGCTGCTGTAAGTTATGGTGTTCCTCAAGGATCCATTTTGGTGCCACATACTTTAATGGGTCAATTCTTCATTTCTTTTCATCTTTATACAGATGACACATAGATTTACAAGCTGATTCCCCTTTCCCTCAAGAAACACCTTAATGCTTTGTGACGTAGGTTCACCAAGATGTCAGAAAAATCTACAAGATTTTGATCCACATTGATCCAATTGGTGGAAATGAATCAGTTGTCCAGGATCTTACCACATCCCACAGTGCTCTAATCCTGAGTGTAATGTGTTTCTGAGCCACTTTGCTGTTTATCTACTGCCAGAGGTCTTAGGTCATCTCTTCATTTTAGCTCTTTTTATTCCTTTACATTGCTGTTGTAAACATGTAAGTACAATTGATTTGATAAGATTAGATTTATGTCTAAATTTGTATGCCAAAATATTATTTAGTATTGCTGAGATTGATATATTTGTTTGGAATGGTTAGACAATTAATCCTGAGTAATGGTTTCACATGATCTCAGTGATCCATTTAAAGATTCAGTGATCTTTAAATGGTCACTGAAGGGTAAAATCCTGTTTGGATGGAGTGTAAAAGACAGATTTTCCCAGTTTCTAGACTTCCACAAAAGTTTCCCTACTTTCCTGCAAGACGTCTCAGGGCAGTGCACTTGTGTTAAATCCAAATGAGCCTATCTGTCAAATCTCCCCTTTCCATAGCCAAATGAGACTCACAGGGGCCTGTATTCTACAGCGGCGCCACAAAGCACCATAACTCAACACAGAGAGCACCCCAGCATTGGAAGCTTAAAAGCACATTGGCACATACGGATATTAGAAGTGTCAAGCCCTGTGATGTAGACTGGGTGCCATTCATAATTACGATATCTGATTTAGGCTCAAAATGAACGCTCTAAAGGGAAAACGAGAGGAGAGCACCAATATTTTAATGGAGAGGAGACAGCCTTCTCCCTCAAGGAACATCTCCACTGACAGTGGCTGCTGGAAAATTGGGATTTATACTTTCTGTTTTCTATTAATATGGAGATGAATACAGGTGTTCCAGTGTTGTAAAATTAGTTTAGCTCTTGCATATTGCAATTACACGTGTTGAGGAGAAAAGCGAGCTATGTGCATGTTCACAGGCAAGAGAAAATGGGGAAAAAAACACCTGGATTTAAAAATGAACATAATAACAAATAACTCTATGCTCTCCAGCCCCCCTCAGCTCAGTTTGGAAAATTGTGGCTTGGCAGACACAAACACTTTTCCTTGTTTCTCACATTAAAAAAAGGGCCACAAATAAACTGTAAACATTTCACTTTGCAAGGGTGAAGTCTTGGGATGCCTCATCAAAACCATGCAGAATTCCCTCCTGTCTGCTGTGGGGATTTGTGGAAGGTATTGTAGAGAAGATGACACTGGCACAATTCCCAGCAATATGAGGTGGGGATACACCATCTTAAAATCCTATTAATTCATGGCTGAGGCTCTTAGGTCACCACTTTCTATCACATAAAATTGGAGGTCATACATAGTATAGACAGAACTATTGGTGTCAACATTGTATTCACTGTTTTTCTTTTTCATAGGAAGTACTCATAGGTCAGTGGTTTAGTGTTTAGCTATATCTCTCTTGGAAAAAGCCATTAACGGAGTCATTACTACTATTACCATTAACTCTGTGTACTCCCTTTGTAATTCTTTCTGGTATTCATTGCAAAGTAATTCACATATTTGTGTCTCTGTCATTGACACAGCTCCTATAGTTGCTGACATTACATTTGTTTGCTCTTTGTTTTTTCTCTCTACAGTGGCCTAGTGCGTTTTCGTTGCCATTGTGCAACGGAAGCTGCCATCTTTGCCTTTGTTGCAAATAACTGTGTACTTTTGTGTACCACTGGTTTTGTATTTAACTGTGTCACTTTGATAGACAAAGCCATTGTGAGTGTCAATATTGCCATTACGTTTTTTTTTTTTTTTTTACTAACAATCATGTCACATTATATCTGACTTTTACTTCATTGACATAAGGCATGTGTCATAATTCTGCCCCAGAAGAAGACATAAACAATGGCTTTGCTATTAGTTATGTTTTTACCCCTTTAGCTTGCTTTGTCTTTTTATGGTCTTGTGACAATAAGATAATAAAAAGACAACTTTGACATTTAACCATAGACGACAACATCAATTATTACTTCCGTCCGCACAGAAGTCTATTTGCAGTTACATTTAATTAGCCAAAATGTCCACATAAAAATAACATATTTTGGTAAAAACTCAGAATTTAGCATCAAGACCAGCTGTGTGAAAGTAGCTTTGGTGTGCTTCTTTTGTATGTTTGTCCTTAAAAGGTTCTCTTGACCCAGACAGTCTCTGTTTAGCTGTATGTCTTATCCGGTAGAGATGCAGTTATTATGGCCACCAGTGGTATCTACTCTCTTTGCTTTTCTGTCCATTGAAAGTTCTCCAGCTATTGGCCGTGTCTCTTTCTCATAAGGGAGTTAATCCTGGCCACTCTTGCCACACGCTTGTTCTGGATGAGATATTAATGCCAAGTCAATGGCTCAAGGAAATTGGCTTAAGAAACTGAAATAAATCGGAGAGTATGTAACTGAATCTTATACTGTGCCTGTATAGGAATTTATTTCTTTGAACATATTTTGATTCCAACTAGGTTTAGTGGCCTTGTAAAGTGCCTTCAGGTGACATTTTTTTTGTCAATTGGCACTAAATATTAAATTAAATTAGACGTGAAAGGATGAACAGACACACTTTGTTGGTGTTTTTTTTTTTTTTTTTTTTACATCTTAAAATACCAAGATTGCCCTGTGTTTATTAGTGAACTACTAATTATAAAACTCATACTAAACGTCATCTTGTAGTTCCTGCAGTTTCTTCGGAGGTAACTCTTGGCCTGCTCTGTGACTTAATCAGTATCAGTGTAGCTTCTGTTGCGCTGTACTTGAAAGCAACACAGATTTATAACAAGACATGAAAGCCACAGCATTTACCTGGCATCAGGCTAACTTTCCCCCCTCCCACAGCCCACAGAGTGGCTGTGGCATTGAGGCGAGACATTAATTCACTGTGTCAACCTGTCCCCCTGGAATATTTATGATGCTAAATACATTTAATTAGGCACCACGAGTTCTGATGGGAGAGAGAATGTACTGACAGTGAGAAGAAAAAAAAAAAAAAGATTTTGTTACCTCTAATGGTGATAGGCTGTTAAAGCTTCGTGCTCAGTCTCAATGATGGGAGAAATAACTACACCATGGAGGGGAACTTGAATTATCATTTGTGGCATGTTCATTACGCTGCCATCACTGCACCTCAAAGAGGATAGTACATATGCTTGCTGAAAAGAAGGATGTTTTCACAAGCATAAACAGGTATTATTAATTCACTGACGCTGAGACTGCAGGGAAGATGCAAAAACTAACAATCAATTTTCATCGCACCAGAGGTTTATTATAAGAAATTAGACCTATACATCATGCAGTAAGTCCTATTAGTTCTACTCACTGCAGTAACATACTTTATCTGTACCGCGCCTTGAAAAGTATTCAAACCGCGTCAATATTTTCACATTTTGTCACATAAAAACACTTCAGTGGTTGATTTATTGAGATTACTTGTGCTATACTGACATCAAGTAGCGCATTGTTGTGAGGTAGAAGAACAATGTTGCATTGCTTTAAAAATGCTTCTCAAATAAATATACTTAAAAAGTGTACAATGCATTTGTATTCAGCCCCCTCTATTGTTGTGCCTCTAAATTAAATCCAGTGCAGATAGTCCACCTGTATGTAATTTAATGTCTATATAAATATGACTTTGAAAACAGTAATGATCAAACAGCATCATGACTACAGGGAACAGTTTTTAACCAACCACAGAGACTGTTTGATCCATTATCTGAAAAGGGAAAGAGTACAGCACAACTATGCTCAGATCATTTATCAAAGAAGCAACCAAGCAGCTCATGGTAACTCTAAAGTTCATGGGAAATGTGGGAGACACTGCAAGCATGTACCAGAACATGCTCTGGCTGGAGGAAACCAAAATGAAACTTTCTCATCTAGATATAAAACACTAGTATGGAAAACTAACAATGGACATGAGCCTGAACACATCATACCAACATGACGCATTATGGTGGTTGCATCATACTTTGGGGATGCTTTTCTCAAGCAGGCACAGGGCAAATGTAACGGCAACTTTAAAGTTCACCTTCCAGCAGGACAACAACCGTAAACTTACATGCAGACATATAGGGGAATGAAGTCAAGTGATTCACATTTTACTGTCAAAATCTCCCACAGAATCTGTGGCAAAACTTTATATGCTCTTCACAGCAATCAAACTAATCTGGAGCTGTTTTGCAAAGAAAAAAAGTTCCAATAAATTACTTTCAAGTTTGTGGTTGTAATGTGACAACCTTTAGAAAAGGTCACGGGGTTTGAATTCTTCTTCAAGACAAGACGGTCTTCACTAATTGAACAGTTTGAGCAAAAACAAAAAAACAAACATATATATATATATACTTTGTGCCACTGTGCTCCAAACATCACAGAAAGACAGACTCTGATGCATTGGCTGACAGCCCAGAGTAAAGTGAGACATCATGTCTGCGAGTGATAAAAACATGGCTAGAGTAAATAATAGTCAGTTTCCATCTTGACGTCTGTCATCCGAGTGGAAATGGATGGGGAAATGACCAGCTCTCTATCGGCCGGGCTGCGGCTGTGTCGCCGGCTGAATGATGCAAATAGAAGATAATATCAGTGCTACGCTGAATGGCATTACTCCAAATCTAATGTCATTAAAAAGGGTGGGTATTAGCTCCGCCGTCTAGAGGTGATGGTGTGGACCGCTCCGGTTTGACTGACACACAGATTAAGTGCAGTGACAGGGAGCACAATAAAGTCATCAGAGAATGTGACATGTCAGTTAGAGCAGAGAGGAGGGGGGAGGGGGGGAAGGATGGATGAAGGGATGAATTGTCACTCTCTGTCAGAGCCCATCCTCTCTCTTATCCATGATGTCCCATACACCACCGTGGGAAAACAGGGACGGCACAGCCACGTCAGACAAATATTTATTCAGGTAGGGGATAAGCATGCCCACTCAAGAGTTCTTGTTCGCCATGTGTTTGTAAATTTACTGTCATAAAGCACATGAGGTGATGGAGAAAGAGCCTAAGAGTTTGGGTGAGAATCTGAAAGCTGTCACAGATCCTAAAATATGTTTGAACTGCAAAACAATAAACATTTCTCGAAAATTAGAAAAAAGATCATTTTACTTTGGCTTCAAGAAACAATTTAATTTCAATTATGGGGACTACACAGGCATTTCTGAAATCCTTTCATGAATCCATCGTCGATACCCACTTATCCTTGCTTGGTCTGGAGGTATGTGGTGCCTATCAGCATCGGTCATTGGGTGAGAGGCGCTGCACACCTAGAACAAGCTGCCAGTCATTTCTAAAATAACAAAGTTAATTTTACAGCAACATGCATAGGTCAGCTATAAAAATGAAGATGCCAGAGTGACCTTGTTTGTTTTGGATGTTTGACGCACAAAGTGTAACCTGTTGCTGTGCACTGCGAGTCAGCTGGTTTAAAGTGGCCTAAAATAATTTATCGTTGTTTGTAAAACTATTGCAGAACAGGCCAGGAAGATTTCAGCTAAATTTAGCTGATGTTCATTTGATATTTTTGCTTTAACCCATGTGTCAAAATCAAAAGGATGGATAAAAGTTAGATTTAACATTCACTTCATTTTCACTTTTTTTTTTTTTTTTTTTTTAAATTAACATTACATAAAGAAAACACAAACAAAATACTACTTTACAAACCCATAATTTACCAAAAAAAGGAATTGGCTAAAGCCAAGGCTTATGTTTGCTGTTGTACTTGCTGAGTTGTGTTATTTTAGTACCAATAGGAATAATAATTAAGTTACATTTTAATAAATTGTTTAATGTAAATACCGTGAGAGTGTAAAACTCAAGCCTTTCATACTATGAGAATCTGAAACACATATACACAAAAAATTACATTAATCCAGAAACAAACATGTTTTTCATTATCTTTTAAATGATAATGCATTCTTTCACTACAACAAAGGAATTCATCTATTACCTACCTCTGTATCAAGCTGCTCTAATACCCCAGCATGTGTCTGGAGATGGCTGCAGCTTGGAGATTTCAGATTATACCATCTGGCCAAAAGATGGCAATGTTGCAGTGCTGAATTCCAAATGAGCTTCTCTTCCGGCTAGCCCCCCATCACAGAGTGGTCACTGCCCTCCTCTGCAGCATTCTTCCTCTCAAACCTTACCCAGAAATCCATCCACACATGCTGCTCTGGGTGCATCTGCACCAGAGTACAGGAGTAACCCCTAAAGTTCTAGAAGATGAGCTGATTTCATTTGCAGACAAGCAGACGACAAAGTTCTGTGTGACAAGTGAAGGAGAGCTGGACCACAATACCTCAAAGTGATTCCTCTCTCTTATAATATGTTTTATATCTTGAATAATTTTACCTTTTTTTTAACTTTTCTTTATTTAAGGAACACTTTAATGGTTTGAAATGTTTTCCCTAAAACATTATATACTATTGTAATTATTTCTTCAGATTTTTTTTTCTGACATATAAATCCTTTTACATATCTCCCATTAGAGACTCGATTTTGTCCTTTATGGTGCTTGCTTTAAAAGAAAAAAAAAAAAGGAACCATCACCTCCTGTGGCAGGTCCATACATTATGAAATAAAGTTTAGCTAGATGAAGTGCAATTTGCATCTTGAAGATTTTCTTTTGAGTGTTTCTCAGTAGTTACAGACAGTGGGAAGGCATTTCAAAGCATTTGGTTGCAGCCAAATAGACTCCCAGCAGGACAGCAATTGTACAGCTATTATAGTCCTAAAATATGTGCCTCTGCAAATGGATTATGAAATTATGTCATATGCTCAAGGGGTTAACCGACTGGTCGGCTGAAAATAATTTATCTGTGTGTCAATCTCCTCAAAATTACATCTCTCTTATACATTTAGGGATTTAAA